TGGCAGAACATGGGAGAAGGTAGGATAACAAAACCAAGCCGGAGGTACCAAGTACATATTCTCCCTCCCACACCCTAGACAACAGCACTCGTTAAAACTAACATACATTTTCCAAATCTCCTAATAACCCCACGAGGCAGACATTATTATTCCCATCTTACAGATCACTAAACCGAGGCAAAGTACACCGAAGCAGCTTCTCGCCCAGGAAGTAGCCATGCTGGGACCCGAACCCAAGTCGGCCTGACTCTAAAGCCTAGTCATAACCACGCCCTAACTTCTGATCTCCTTCTAGACTAAGAGGCGGCAGATAATGACAGTTTCTAGGAAGCCTTTGGCTCAACCACAGGGGAAGCCAACATCAAAGACCAAGGAGGAAAAATATCTCTTCAGTGATGACTCTGGAGCAGGTCACAGAGCAAAGGAAGTGTTAGGCTCTCAACTTAAGGGGAAGACAGCCAAAAGTATTACCTTTTAACTGTAACGACTGGGGCAACAGCTCAAGAGGTCCCAGTGCTCCAGTGAGTAATGCCTGAGTTGATATGAATGGAATGGCTGGTCCTGAAAACTTAATCACATAACCAAGTGGGTGCCTCCACCCTTGTCCTCAGCCCTAGAAACTTCCTGGGTGCTTACAGAAGGAATGCTGCCAAATCCTGACTGCTCCTAAGCCCTTGTCCCTTACTGGGTGAACAATCTCGGGGATTGTAATGGGAACTCAAGTTTTAAAGAATGAGTTGTGTCTTCTGACCCACGTAAAGAGCACAGCATGTGTTTTGTACACCAGTCTAACTGGAAAGAAAGTGCCGACATGGTGTTATATTTGAATGACAGCTATAAAACTAAACACATTTTTTGCTACTATAACGTACTAATTCTTGTCTGTATTTGAGCTAGCTCCTACGATAAGAGCAACGAGAATTGATGTGAAAAAGTGTGCTGATGGGGTGCCTGGGATGGCTCAGTCGGTTAAGCTGCCAACTTCAGCTCAGGTCACGATCTTGCGGTTCATGAGTTCTAGCCCCGTGTCGGGCTCTGTGCTGACAGCTCAGAGCCTGGAGCCTGCTTCCGATTCTCTCTGCCTCTCACCTGCTCACACTGTCTCTCTCTCACGCTCCCTCTCAGAAGTAAATAAACGTTAAAAAAAAAAGTGTGCTAATGACTGGTCTCACCTCTAGAAAAAAGTTGGTAGATGGCAATCTTTCCTTACCATTCACATTTAAAGGTATTTAGAAAATTACAAAAACAAACAAAAAACCCTTTTTCTTATAGCAGTTTCACTGAGATATAACTCACATCTGATACAATTCTTAAGTCTTTAAGCTTTAAAAAAATTTTTTTTAACATTTATTTATTTTTGAGAGAGGAAGCATGCATACACAAGGAGAGGGGTAGAGAGAGGGAGACAGAGGATCTGAAGCAAGCTTTGTGCTGTGAGTGAATAGCCCCATGGGGGCTCGAACTCACAAACGGACTATGGGATTATGACCTGAGCCCAAATCGAGAGTTGGACGCTCAACCAACTGAGCCACCCAGACGCCCCTAAGTATTTAGCTTTTAACTTTGCACTTATGACCTGTTATTATAATTACTCAGACTGTAACAACACAGAAAACATCTCATATTCAGATAGAAACAAAATATGTACGCTTTCACATAGGCAAACACAAAAAGACGGAAGAATGAAAATGGGACACCCTGTTAGAGGACTGTGCAATTAGAGGATCTTTTTTTCCAAAATACTCAATTCTTGCTGTTATAATAATTTGACAATAAAAACAAAACTCTGATAAGAGAACCACCAGAAAAACAGTACCATGTAACTCTTTCCTTGTCAGAGACCTCTGAGAAAAAGCCCACGTTTATGCTCTAACAGATACCCTTTGCTGTACCATCCTGAAAAATAATTCTCAGTAGAACATTCCACGAGTGGGGGTTCTCCCAAAGTTCACCCAGCAAAGGCACACGCAGACCCGCGTGTGAAGGCTAGGAAGGGACTTTACCACACTGCACGAGCCGCCCCTCTGAAGTGTCCTTCATGATGAGCAGAACCCCACACTGCTTGCTTAAGAAAAGCCCGAGCCTCTCCCTCTCTGATTTCAAAGTCCTGAGGGTAGTGGGAACGTGCTCAAAGCCCAAATAGGAAACCTGTGCGCTGCAGCAATCAATCCTGCAGAAGCTGGCACATGTTCCAGAGCCTCTTTCCTCACATGGATGACAAAGAGAATCGAGGGTTTAATCGGAAGCACTGCCCACGTGCGATTGCTGGCAGGCTCCTGAAAGTAAGTTCTCGCTAAAATCAGCAGTCAGGTGCAAATTCCTCGGAAACATGCTCCATGGGCGGCATGGAGAACGCAGATGTAGGACTCTGAAGCTTGCAGAGACCAGTAACAGTGCTGGGTAGGGGGGAAGCTGGAGAAAAGAAGCAGCAGGAGGTGACCGAGTCAGCTCTGTCCCGGGGCAAATCCTTCCTCTAGACTTCAGGCCAATTAGTAACACTTGGCGACCGAGACACTTGACCTTCTTAAGGGAATTCAAGTGTGTTACGTAGTCACCAAAGATGAGACCCGCTCACTGGGCTGAGCCAAGGCCTCTGGGGAAGGTAAGTGAGGGCCTCGTCCACTCGTCCACTGCTCTGGAACTCAGAGACAATCTACCAACCTAGTTCCCAAACTGCCAGCAAAGCACCCCAGGGTGTTGCAGCAAACTCACAAAGGTGCTCACAACCTGTAAAAGTTTCAACATCGATCTGATACCACACAGATTTGTGTTCTTCCTTTCCAGGGGCTATCAAATTCTGAGGATTGTCATGTTGACTCTTTGGAGCTAACTGTTAGGGGTTTTTTTTGGCCTACAAGTTTTTTTTTTTTTTTTTTAATTTTAAGATTTATTTGTAGGGGTGCCTGGGTGGCTCAGTTGGTTAAGCGTCCGACTTCGGGTCAGGTCATGATCTCTCGGTTCATGGGTTCGAGCCCCGCGTTGGGCTCTGTTCTGACAGCTAGCTCAGAGTCTGGAGCCTGCTTCAGATTCTGTATCTCCCTCTCTCTCTGACCCTCCCCTGCTCACACTGTCTCTATCTCTCAGGAAAAAAAACTTTTTTAAATTTTTTAAAAATATAAAGATTTATTTGTAAGTAATCTCTACACCCAACATGGGGCTCCAACTCATAAACCAGAGATCAAGAGTCACACGCTCCACTGCCTGAGCCAGCCGGGGGCCCCTGGCCTAGGAGTTCTGGGAAAAACTGCCGAGACACGAAGGGTGCCATGGACTGAGAAAACATGGATGACACACAGGATGACAGCACCTGACCAGACTCAGTTTTGCTAAAAAGGCCATGAAGTGCCAATGACTGCGCTTTAGATTGTGGAAGACACAGCCTTATGCCTCCTCTCGTCGCTGTCACATCACCTGGTAAAGGGGGCGTCAGAGACGAGCCGAGGGCAGCCGAAGCCACATGCCTGTGGTCCCACAGCTGGAGAGAAGGCCAAGCCTGTGCTCGACTCAGGTCTTCTGACTCAAGTCCACTAGCCTGGCTCGAAGGTGCGAACTCACATTTCTGCATGAACTTTGGGGTCGAAGAATCTTAAAAATGTTTTATCTTAACTAGGGCTAGGCACATCTTTTAAAAATTGCCGGAACCACGTCTCCCCCACCCGATGCCGCCTTCTTGACCCAGAGATGCTATTTTGTTTTGACAGATGTTTGCTCTTTGGGCCAAGAGGATTCTTTCTCTGGGTCAAAGCTGGGACTGCAACACCTCCAGGAGTCTGGCCCTCCCAGTTAGCTGGCTGCGGACCGCTCCGGCTTTCCTGTGCCAGGTCATCAATGCCTGTGTTTGTTTTCAAAGGAAGGGTGTGTGAGAGACAGTAAGCCAGTGGAAATACCTTCATCCACAGGAACTGTGGGAGTGGGGAAAAAAATAAACAAGGGAAAACGTTCCAGGGCCGCCGAGGTAGAACACAGACTAAGGAGAGTGGGAAAAGGAAGCCCATATGCCAAGGGCAAACAGATGGAGGAAACACTTAAGCCATCTGGTACCCCTGTCCCTGCAGTAAAGAGCTGAACAGAGGTCTGCCACTTCCGCTCGGACTTTTTCTAGGACAGCAGTGCCACCTTCTGTCGAGTAGTCAGATCTGAGTCGGGTTGCTTACTGAGGAGGTAAGACCAGAAAATTGAAGTTAGAGGAAAAAACATGATGCAACAGAGTGCCAAAGCATTCTGCCTCCCGCAGAACACTCAGCCACCTTCTTTTCTCTTGTTAAGGGCAAACTCAGCAACCCAGAGTGCAATCCCTCCTCCTCAGGTGGATGGATCAGGACCAAAGGCTCTCTCTAGAAGTGAGTCTGTAGTTATCATTTCTCTTCTTTTTTAAATAGGCTTCACACCCAGTGCGGAGCCCAACACGGGGCTTGAACTCATGATCCTGAGATCAAGACCTGAGCTGATATTAAGAGCTGGATGCTTAACTGACTGAGCCACCCAGGTGCCCCTGGAGTTATCATTTCTTACTCAACCCCCAAATATGGACTTTGTGCTCAGAGGTAACCCCAAACGTCAGAGTGATAAAAATTAGGGCCATTTCTAGTCTTTGTACTCTACACTTATACCTTCTAAAGGTGGCAATTAGTTAGGGAACATTCAACTCTGCTTATCCATAATACCCAAGCCCTCTCCCAGGAACCTGTTTGGGGGGCTAGTCCAATCCCCAACCCCCAAATTTCGTTATGACATTCTTGATAAATGCTTTCTTAACAACTGTCTGAAAAAGGTCCAGAAACAGGGAGCTTACTACCCTCCCTATAAAGCAGCTCAACCCACGTATGGCCAGAGATGACAAAAAGGTCTTCATTATAGGAAGACAAACACATTCCTTTTAATTCTTCTGTAGGTTGCTTCAAGTTCAGCACGTGGCTTCCACCTCCCAGATGACACCTCCTCCCTGGTTGGCTCTCCCAGCTCCTGAACCTTCCATGTGACGTGGTTTCCAGTCCCCTCACCTTTATATTGCTCTCCTCTGAGCGTACTCCAGTTTCAAACTGTGGAATTCGATATTCCCAAACAAGCCCAACGACAGGGTGACCAGCCTGGGAAGCAAGCATAGGTCATTGCAGCTAACGCTACTGAACACAGACACGCCAGACACTATTATGCTAATTATCTATTTATGCTTACTCAGTTAATTCACATAAAATAAGTGAGGTAGATTTTATTAAGATGCATAATTTTGGGGCACCTGGGTGGCTCAGTTGGTTAAGGGACCAACTCTTGATTTCGGTTCAGGTCACGATCTCATAGTTTGTGAGTTCAAGCCCCATGCTGGGCTCTGCACAGGCAGCACCAAGTCTGCTTTGGATTCTCTGTCTCCTTCTCTCTCTGCCCCTCCCTCACACACTCTCTCTCTCCAGAATAAATAAACATTAAAAAAAAAAAAGCCTATTTCCCAGGTGACAAACTCTCAGGTTAAGGGATTTCTCCTAGGAGAGCTGGAATTCAGATTCAGGGCTCTGACTCCAGAACCTTCACTTCCACCCACCACGGGGGCTGTCTTGTCTTATTCTGGATTCTCTACCCCGCTTACTGCACTTCAAGGTCACTGACACTTACAGAGCAGTGAAAGCAGTCACCAAACAACTACTCAGTATTACCGACCCAAGATTCTGGCTTCTAAAGAACAGGGGTTCTCAAAGTTGCTCTAGGGACCCCTAGAGGTCTGTAAGGTCAAACCTGTTTTCCTAATACCAAGACATCGCTCACCTTTTTCACTGTGCTGGCGCTGGCAGGGGCAATGGTGGGTAAACTGCTGGCCCTTTAGAACCAATCGAGGCAGCTGCACTGAGTTTTAGAAGTAGGAATGCTCTCAGTTACAAAAACAGCCAATTTCACTTAAAAATATCCTTGGTGCTGGGGTGCCTGGGTGGCTCAGTCGGTTAAGCCTCTGACTTTGGCTCAGGTCATGACCTCACGGTTCCTGAGTTCAAGCCCCACATCAGGCGTCGTGCTATCAGGGCAGAGCCTGCCTCGGATCCTCCGCCCCCCTCTCTGCCCCTTCCCTGCTTGTTTTCTCCCTCTCTCTCAAAAATAAATAAAGTTATAAAATATATATATATATATTCTTGGTGAAGCAGTAAAAATGATTCACTTTATTAAGTCTTGACCGTTGGGTACAAATTTTTTTTTTTTTTTGCATTTTCTGTGATGACATGAGAGGTCACATAAATACCTCATCTGCCCACTGAGGTCCAATGGTTACCTCAAGGGCAAGCACTTATGTGAGGGAGTTGTAAGTTGATCTAGTTGCTTTCTTCATGGAATGCCATTTTTACTTGAAAGAATGAATGACAGACAAACTATGGTTAGTCAGATTTGGGTAACTGGCAGACATTTTCGAAAGAAATGAAGCAATTCAAGATCTCAAGTAAAAACGAGCATCTTAGAAAATGTGTACTGCCCACTGTGAGCAGACAGCTTTCCAATACTTAACAGCTTGTCTGATGAGATGGGTAATGTCATTAACAAATATAACGCTATGGATATTATAAGGCAAAATGCATCGCTGGAGCTCTGCATAACTCCGTGAACCACCATTTTCCAGATCCCCAGCGCCTGAGGATGTGTCAGTATGGGTAAAAGAGCCCTGCAGAGTGTGAGGCAGATCTGTGGATGTTAATAAAGGTCCAAAAAATTCACTGAGGTTTCACATCCCACAGTGCAACTAGTTTTTAGGAAACCTCTCCCTGTTGAGTTTTGATCGAGCATCAAAGAAGAAGATCCACAATCACCTAAAGGGCTATTAACATACTTGTCCTCGTTCCAGTGATCTGTGTGTGAAGCCAGGTTTTCTTCAACTACTTCAATCAAAACAACACACTGGATCAGACTGAATGCGGAAGCACTTAAGAGAACCCAGCTAGCTGTCCATGAGGCTGGATGTTAAGGAGACCCGCAAAATGTCAAAACAATATCTGTCTTTGAGTTTGTGGATTCAATTTTTTCGGTTTCAGAAACAGTTTTTTTTTGTTTGTTTGTTAAAAAGTAACTTACCTTAACATGTAATGGGTTTAAATGTTATTTTATTTTCTTAAACTATTTTTGTTAACATTTATTTTTGAGACAGAGAGAGACAGACTGTGAGCCAGGGAGGAGCAGAGAAAGAGGGAGACAGAATCCGAAGCAGGCTTCAGGCTCTGTCCTGTCAGCACAGAGCCCAACGTGGGGCTCGAACCCACAAATTGCGAGATCATGACCTGAGCTGAAGTCAGATGCTTAACTGACTGAGCCCCCCAGGCACCCCACAAATATTTATAATTTTAAAATAAGTTAAGGGGCGCCTGGGGGGCTCAGTTAAGCGTCTGACTTCGGCTCAGGTCATGATCTCACCGCTCGTGGGTTCGAGCCCCACATTGGGTTCTGTGCTGACAGCTCAGAGCCTGGAGCCTGCTTCTGATTCCTTGTCTCCCTCTCTCTCTGCCCCTACCCCACTCTCAGTCTCTCTCTCTCTCTCATAAATGAATAAATGTTAAAAAAAAATTTATAAATATTTGGGACGCCTGGGTGGCTCAGTCAAGTGTCTAACTTTTGGTTTTGGTTCAGGTCATGATCTCACAATTCGTGACTTCGGGCCCTACATTGAGCTCTGCGTGGACAGCACGGAGCCTGCTTGGGATTTTGTCTCTCCCTGTCTGTCCTTCCCCCACTCGCTGCCTCTCTCAAAAATAAATAAACTTAAAAAATATTTAAAAATTTTCTCAATTTTAAATGAAGTGATGCTCTTTGGGATCCTCAGCTTTTAATTGTGTAAAGACACCAAAACGTTTTGAGAACTGCTGTAGTAAAAAATCAAAAGCAGATCTTATTTATTTATTTATTTATTTACTTATTTATTATTTTTTAAAGTTTATTTTTGAGAGAGAGAGATCCCAAGGAGGCTCTGCACTAACAGTGCAGAGCCCCATGTGGGACTTGAACTCACAAACTGTGTGATCATGACCTGAGCCAAAGTCAGACTTCCAGCCAACTGAGCCACCCAGGCACCCCAAAAGCCAGATTTTAAAAAGCCAAGGCAGTGAGGTGCCTGGGGTGGGGAGTGGGGGTTGGTTAAATGTCTGAATTTTGATTTCGGCTCAGGTCATAATCTTACTGTTTGTAGGACTGAGCCCTATGTCGGGCTCTGCACTGACAGTGCAGAGTCTGCTTGGGATTCTTCCTCCCTCTCTCTCTCTGCCCCCTGCCGCTCCCCTGCATGCACTCTCTCTCTCAAAATAAACTAAAAAAAAAAAAAAAAAAAAAAAAAAAAAAGCCAAGGCAGAAAGGAGTGCCATCTGGTGGAAGAGACAGTTATGACACCACTCCATTTGCAAACAAAATAAATGACACCCCTAATCCACACTGATGACATTGCCTCTTAGAAACTTCACATACTTAAGGCAGAAATACTCAAAATTCAAGACGTGGAAGATAAAAATATTGTTAGAAGTCAATTAAGTATGCCAGGAAAGATCCAGAATAGAGGGAGGGTTGGGAGGGTTTTGAGGTCGAGGCCACGACCTCATGTCTTGAAGTCTGACGACAGTTCTGGCAAGAGAGGAAGCCAATGTCAGGACGAAGGCATGGGGAGCCCAGAAGACTCCTGCTGGGAACAGTTTCTAGTCCTTGGAGAGGCCACATCACTCAAAAGTTTTGGACTTGAGGATCTCTGAGTGGGAGGGCGTCTGACCCCTTCCACACTCAGCCTCCAAAAGAACTACATCAAGTTACTGGGAGGCTAGAATGTTCTGTCCTCTGAGGGCTGGCTCCGCAAGAACAAAAACTGTTCCAGAAAACTTTTCATTCCATAACCAGACTCAAAGTTCAAATGACTGAATGAAATACAGTAAAGCACATCAGTCAAAGGGTCAAGTATAAATGTGTCTTTCCAGCCTTCATGTGGTTCCAAGAAAGGCTGAGCACAGGACACATCCACAAGCTTCCCAATTCTGTCCCTCTCGCCCCCAGGCCCAGCTGGTCTTCCTCATTCCCAGGGGATTTGCTGTTTATTCCAGAAAGGCTGACAGTAAACTACCCACACCTTTCTCTCCAGCCAACTTCCCCAGGGGGCCTTCGAGCCTTAGGCAAAGGCCAGCAACTGTACACATAAAGTCTCCAGGACTCATGAACCCTCCCTTCCCTCCACTCCAAAGCCCGAGCACTTGGCAGCTCCTCAGGTTTATTTCCTGCATGGGCTCTAAGGTCCACACACCCCAACTACTAAGACAGAAGATTACTACTACTACTGGGCATTTTTCTTCTGCAAGCCCAGGCAGAGGTGTGGCCGCCCATGACCCAGGCCACAAGTCCACCCTCCTGCTCATAATGTTTGCGTGGGTTAAGCCTCGGTTCCTCACTTGGCACAGAAAGGAGTGGCATTTGCTGTGCCTAGGGCTCAAAATTTTCTTTCTTCTGCATGCTGATGCCCAAACTTCCTTTCCTGGTGAAATGTGTTATCTGCATCCTCCACAACCTTTCACGGGTTTATTCCAATGGTCGCACACAGTTCTATCCAAACACAGAATGAGCTCAAATTTGGAACCGTATTTTCGGATATACTATCGTTTTGATTATAATTTGGTACAATTTTCCAGAGTTCTTCTGTGTCGCCTTGAAAGCTTCAGCTGGTTTCAAAGCAGTTTTTAATCACAAAAGTTGGCCCATATTCCCCAGGCCTAGAAGGATGGAATTAAGACTTCCTCTTAGAAAAAGAAACGTTTCCTAAAGAAAGCATCCTTAATAGGCACAGTTATACTGACACCCAGGGCACAGTAGAGCAAACCTACTCTACTGTGGCACAGGGCGGGGGGAGCAGGGGGTCTTAACCATCATCACAATAGGTCAGGGAGCATGACCGGAAATGCCACTAATGACTCTTGGCTGCTAGTGGGAGAGAACTATCGAGGAATGGCTACGCCGTTTCAGAAAGACCACTCTGCTTACCCAAAAGTGGATGGGCATGAGCCAGAGGGAGTAAGAATTAGGTGCAGCTTCTCCAACAGCTGGGGAGACCTCACTTTGACCCTCTTGTGGCCCTTCCTCACTTCTAGACGACTAAAAAGTACAAAAGGCAGCCCTTAGGGCTTCCTGACTCTAGAAACATTCCCACATCTAATGTGGAGGGGCAGTGACCCCGCCAAGCCCTCCTGGCTGCAGGTCACCCGCAAGCTGCCATACTCAGCCAGGCATCTCGCCTTTCTAGTCTAGAGATAACGGCACTATCTGCACTTCTGGAAACCCGAACTGCTCAGGACTTCCTCATTCCATGGTGACCTCCAGGCTTCTTTAGAAAGCCAGTTTCATTCTGGAAAATTCACAGGTGGTTGCGGGGCGTGTTAGTGGGACCAACCTTGACCAGACAGGAACTGAGCCATAACGTTACAATGCCTTGTTCACATCCAGCCACCCCACCACAGCCAACACCAAATACCTTTGGGTCATCAGCCTCAGGTTTTTCAGTCTCTGAATCGTCATCTTCCTACAAGACAAAGAATTTAGAGGATTAAGCTTAAAGGAGTGGGCCTGAGGGTTCTCACATGCATAACTAGGGGCTGGAGCAACTTACCCAGCCTGGGCCATCCCACCGAGAACCCCTCCCCTGCCCTATGACCCAGAACTAGAGAAAGAGCAGGGGAGAAGGAGATGTTCGGGGTGGGGTAGGGGAGGACATTAGCAGCTCAAAGTCGTTACTCCAGCAGTGCCACAGTGTCTACAGCAATGAAAATGCCTGAGATTAAAAATCACATATATAAAAATGGAAAAAGACGGTCATGTTTCAGAAAAGAATAAGACCAGGCCCCACAGGCTAAGAAGGGCATAGCGTTTCCAGTGAAATATCAATTATTTAAAACCAAGAACGTGAGCCTTTTTTCCTTCTTTGCCTTACATACACACATCGTTCACGGTCGGAGTGCCATGACGCATACACACCTACACCCTGGCACTCCAGCCCAGGGTCAGCCGCAGCTACATGAACAGCAGGAAGGTGGGCGTCAAATGTCCAGGGCAAGTGACCCAGGAAAGGACTAAAGAGCAACACCCAGCCTTTCCTGGGTCTCAGCTGAGTAGGCCCTGCCTCCATCCGGGCTCTCCCAGAACTGCCACTGACCCATTCTCTCCAGTCTTGTTCCTGGTCCAAATGGCCAGCCTGACACAAAGCACCATGTGAACAAGGCATTCTCCAAAGTGTGCACTGGCCGCACATGACCTAGCCCGCCATTCCACTGAATGAGTGCCAGTGAAGGTCAACCACCAGCTACCCTATCAGGTAGCTACAGCCACGTCTGCTCCCAGAACACCCCGACGCACAAAAGCCTTTAACTTAACACCCAGGGGTAACAGGTAATTTTCATTTGAAATTGCTTTTTTCAATGGAGCTACACTTTGACCCAAACATTAAATAGTGCCCCAGCTGTTACCATAAACACCACCCGCAAGACTCAGACAAATTATACTGATGGGTTTGAGATTGAACTGTTCTGGCAGATGCCAGTAATCCCAAGGGCTTAAACGCAATCTCCATAAATTACTTAAAATGAAATCCGTCATGCCAATAATCAGAGAAGTAGCTCAGCCAAATACAATCACGTTTTAGAATGTCTATATTATGATTTGATGAGAGGACTTCACTAGAATATGAAAGTGTAAATATGACGGAAATTCTAAGCAAAGCCCGTGTGCAACAATACTTCAGAAAGACATCATGCAAATTTACTAAAGAAAATGGTTATGGTGTTAAGCTGGTAAGTGTGCACGTAAGAAAGTCAGGAAAAAAAAACAATTGCAAAGCTTTTCTAAACAACTGTAGTCAATTCTGAATTATCAGCATTAATGGTGGGGCTAAGAGAATGACAATACCTTCCAAAAGAGCATCAAATACAATATGCATTTTTGTTTCATTAGAAAGTGTATGAACGCTAACATTTAAATATCAACGCATAGGAAAGCCTTCAAACGGATAATAAAGTACATTGTTTCAATTAACGGTGTTCCTACTAAATTCTATATTCAGATTTCACTTAGTATGCCTTTGTGCTAAGCACCCGCTTGAATCCTTGTTTTCTCTCCAAACTTTTTAAGTTCTGGATCCTGAGGTTCAGGTGATAGTGTATCAAAAGATTTTCTGGTTCATTAAGACAGTTTTCTGTGTTGTCAGCGCACAACTCGATGTCAGGCAAGATTTGTGCTCAAGAACCAAAGGCACTCTGATAAAAAGTGTCAAGTAAGATGTCAAGAAAGTTCAGAAGGATCAAACCAAAAATAAAAAACTAATTTTCCTTCCTAATCGTTTTAATAAGCTGAAAGATTTTAAACCAAGATTAAAGATGATACAGAGTTTTTTGTAGATATAAATATCAGTTAGGAGGAATGCGTTGTTACAAATGGAATAAATTATCTTAGCAAAGAAAATGAACATGAAACATTCATTGATATCTGGGTTAAATAGAGTAGTTTGGAATCCTACCCCCCCCGCCCCCAATTTCAATTCAGAAGTTAGTACGAGATGGTGCAAATGAAAATAAATTTCATTTTCAAAGAGAACTACTGATATCCAATCCAGTTTCCTCAACTGATACCAAACAAAAAGAGGGGGGAAGAGGGGGAAATGACGTTGGCCATGGAATGGAACACTGTTGGCACAGTTCAGAAGGTTTCTGACAAATGAAATGGTGCTTTGAACAACTGTGGATTTGGGAACAGACTTACTTACCGACTGTTTGCTGTTCTCGTCGTCCTCTTCTTCGTAACCATCTTCATCACCTCCGAGGCGAGAAAAGTCATCCTCTCCGTAGGCTTCAGATACTAATCCACCTTTCTCTTCTGAAACAGAGGGAAAAAGAAAAATGAATAAATGCGTTCAAAAATAAAAGACCACCTTTCAGTGGTTTGAATGGCTAGAACTATCTCTGAAGATCAAAGGGGAGCCTAAATCTCGCATGACTATAAGCCCAGAACCTGCCTTTTGAAAGAGCACAATTTAGTGGATAAAATCATTAAAAAACATGGAAGAAAACTAAACACTAAATCCTTTCTCTTAAGCTTCTAATCTTCCTAGTATGCCAACTGAAGGCTTCTTTTCTTTGAACTATTGCTGCATGTTGTTGAAAAAAACCTCTTTATATTTTAAAATTTATTTTATTTTACTTTAGGGAGAGAGAGCAGGGGAGGGGTAGAAGGAGAGAGAGAGAATCTTAAGCTTACACAGGACTCGAGCTTATGACCCTGATATTTTGACCTGAGCCGAAATCAAGAGTGGATGCTTAATTGACTGAGCTACTCAGAGGCCCAGAAAACCTTTTTTTTTGATATATGCATCTACCTTGTATCAGAGGCATCAGAACTTGTCTTCTCCTTTTTTAAAAAAAGTTTTTTTTTTTAACATGTATTTATTTTTGAGAGACAGAGACAGCACAAGTGGGGAAGGGGCAGAGAGAGAAGGAGACACAGAATCTGAAGCAGGCTCCAGGCTCTGAGCTGTCAGCAGAGCCAGACATGGGGTTCAAACTCACAAACTGCAAGATAATGACCTGAGCCAAAGTCAGTCACTTAACCTACTGAGTCACTCAGGCGCCCCAAAACTTGTCTTCTTATACAAGATGAAGGCTCTGTTGCCCTCACTTTTGTGTTCTCTTTTAGGAACAGGAACTTTAACTGGGGGCACTCAGAGGGATTCCCAATCATATCTACTTGAGAAGCAAAATCTTCTTCTATGCTTAAACCAAAACAAACAACAACAAAATTACAAATGCTACAATTACTGGGAAACCACCAGAGAACCTCTTGACTGGGTCACACAAAACTGGGAGTAGCTAACCTCCAGATGCGGAAAGGAAGGCCCAGATCTGTTCCGTAACTTGCTGCCCTCTATGATGCCAAAGAAATCTGTTCCCAATTCCTAACATTGTGAATCTAAACCTGAGTAGGGCAACAAAATGATGGGCTTTAACAGCCTACAAAGTACTGGAATCACTGAAGAACATTAAAAAGCTACAAAATGCCCAGATCTTACCCCAAATCTACAAATTACTTTCTTGCCAGCCAGACCAGATACATATATTTTTAAAAGTTCCAAGACGGGGGTGCCTGGGTGGCTTAGTTGGCTAAGCGTCCGACTTTCGCTTAGGTCATGATCTCACGGTTCGTGGGTTCGAGCCCCGCGTCTGGCTCTGTGCTGACTGCCAGCTCAGAGCCTGGAGCCTGTTTCAGTCTGTGACTCCCTCTCTCTCTGACCCTCCCCTGCTCACGCTGTCTCTCTGTCTCCTAGAAATAAATAAACATAAAAAAAAAAAAAAAGTTCCAAGACGGGGTGCCTGGGTGGCTCAGTCGGTTAGGCGTCCGACTTCGGCTCAGGTCATGATCTCATGGTTTGTGGGTTCGAGCCCTGCGTCGGGCTCTGTGCTGACACCTAGCTCAGATCCTGGAGCCTGCTTCTGATTCTGTGCCCCCCCCCCCGCCCTCCCCAACTCGTGCTCTGTCTCTCTCTGTCTCAAAAATAAAAACAAACAAACAAACAAAAAAAACAAAGAAAAAAAGTTCCAAGATGCGTCTAGGGCACAGTCCTAATGCATAGTTATAAACTTAACATGACACAACCTTTACCACCCTCCACGTACGTTCTTCCCATTATACAACGAGCCGGGAGGGAACAGCTAGTGGATCGGTAGCTTTGGATCCTTTCCATCTTTCGCCCATCCCTAAGCCCAGCACGGATGCTCGGCATGGAGAAGACTTTCAATAAGTTACCGCAGAATAACCGAATCAACGGAAGGAGATGGTCCATTCTTACTCCAGAGCGTCTACTCTGTCCCAATCAGGGCCTCGATGGCGCTTCGGGGCTCCGGGGCCCGATACCTGGGGCACAATGACCATCTCTTTCCCTCCCGCTCTGCTAGGGGAGCAGCTTTCCGAGCAGACACCTCATTCTCCCCTTCCAGCTCCCTACTCGGGCCTCACCAGCCGCGCTGCCCGCCGTCTCGACGCCAGCTTCGCCGTCGGACTCGGGCTCTGAATCTTCCGCGTAAACTGCCAGGGACGACAGAACATTCTTCTTCCCCGCCATCTTACTCCCATAACCCCAGCGCGCCTCACTCTTCTGACTCAAAGAAGCCGACTTCCGTGCGGAAAGGCGACTTTTTTCTATCCCAGAAGAACCCGCGCCGGTTCCTGCCCGGAAACCAATCAAAACGGCCGTTTCTGGGTCTGGCCCCGCCCCTCCCACCGGGCTCCCGTGACATCATCACTGCGCGACGGATGTAAGGTTGTGTGGGTTTTACCTGATAACTGAATTCTTAATTTTTTTGGCTTCTCAGAGTTTGGGGTGGTTTATGGGGGTCTTCGACTAGTTCCCAACCAGCGGGCAGCAGCGTCCCGGCAAGAGTCCTTCGCTTTCGGGTGGCCCGCGACCAGCTCTGATATCTTGGGGTGAAGAGAGGGAGGCTTCGGCTGGGGAAAGGAGAAAAGAGCGAACTGGGGTTTAGAGGAAGAAAAGTGGTGAGCTCTCCTCCAGGAGGTGGGAAGAAAGGGTCGGGGTTCTGGGGGGAAGAATGACCGTGAAAGCGGCACTTATAAAAGGAGAAGGTGGGTCTTAGAAAAACAACTCCATCTTCAAAAGTATTCCAAAGACGTTTGTGTTTCTTCTCGTTTCTTCTCTGATTTCTAGCTCTGTGCCGCACCGCTGCATGGGATAGTTCAGTGTTTTTATTTTCCTCAGCATAAAAGTGGAGATGTTAATTGCCCGGGAATGGGTTGCTTGAGGCTGTTCACCTGGAGCTATGTTACTTGGAAATAATATATTTCTTGAGAGTAATAAAACAAATTTTACTCAGAAAAATAAGTATTTTTAAAGCAGAGTAGAGGGTTTTCATCGCAACCATATGCCTTAACTTTTGGCCACGGTCTGTTGCTAAGATGAGCACCCACCCTTCTTTTGACCCTGAACGTCGAGTCCGGAGCACGTTGAAGAAGGTCTTTGGGTTTGACTCTTTTAAGACACCGTTACAGGAGAGTGCGACCATGGCTGTAGTGAAAGGTAACATTGCCAAACTACCTGCATTTACATTTGTGCTGGCTGTACCGTGGCATTGCCACAGAGAGTGCCACCACCCTCCTTCTGACCCCTCCTCCCGCCCCCCCCCCGTCCATAATTATTGTTGGAAATCTTCTAAACGTGTCACTTAAAACTGGCATTTTTATTGGCAGAATCACCCAGCCATTCTGGTTCTTCATAGCCAGAGCTGCAGATTGTCTTTGAAAACAGTTCATAGATTTCAGTTGGTGTTTGTGTGTAGGCATTAGTGGGAGTGGCAGGAAGGGCTTAATCCAGTTACTGACTTTCTAAGTCCTTTGTTGAAGAGGGAGTGGTCTGGGTCCCAAATAGGGAAGGAAGGAGTAATAATACCATAAATCTGATATATACAGACAAATGGAAGTTGTCGAGAGGGTAGCAACGATATATTAGTTATATTTTAACACTTATAAGCAAAAACCTTCTAAATGATGTGGCTTCCATATCTCCACAGGTATGCCCACTCATCTAGAAGTAATCAACTTTCATGGTTGCTTAATTCAATCATCCATAACCCAACAGACTCAAACTTCCCACCCTTGTGGTTGTCATTGCCGTTACTGGAAATGGTTTGTGCCCATTTCCAAATCTCTCTCGATCTCTGCCCTTAGCCCGGAAAGGATGGGAAGGATATTAACATTATATTGAGACCTTTCCACGTGCCACTCTGCTAGGTGCTTTTCCTACACTCTCATTAAGTGTTCAACAGCCTTGGCAAGGAAAAAGATAAAAGGCAGCAAGCATTTAGATATCATTGTCTTTTATTTTTTCAGGTGACAAGGATGTGTTTGTTTGCATGCCCACAGGGGCAGGAAAATCCCTCTGCTATCAGCTCCCTGCTCTGTTGGCCAAAGGCATCACCATTGTAGTCTCTCCACTCATTGCTTTGATTCAGGTGAGCCTTAGGGGGATGAAGATGGTAACCCAAAAAGTTTAGGGGAAGGTGGGATTGGTTTTTTGTTTGTTTTTTTGTTTTTGTTTTGCTTTGTTTTGTTCTTTCCAGCTGGAAATGTCCTGTCTCATTTATTTGGTATTTCCCTTTCTATATTGGGTTTCTGAATTGTCCAGATATGGAGTCTCCACTAGTGCATAGTGCTCTGGCAGGTTATGAATGAGTTTTCTGTATTTTGATGGCCCAAGGTCTCTTCTTTTTTTTACTTTTCACCCAGAGGAGTATGGAAATGTATCTGCATACACACAGACACTCACTCTCTCATGTACGTACATGGGCCCTCCTGACAGGATAGAAGATGCAGATGGGTAGAGAGCTAAAAAGATAGAAAGTGGTTGGGACCTTGTCAGCATCTGCTCTGCACCTCTGGCTATATTTAAGCCCTGCAGGTGGGCTGATCGAATCAGAAACGAGGAAGTGTGGCTGTGTGGTTAAGAGCCATCCGCCATGAAGAGAAACGGAATGACAGTGACAGTGCTTAGTGAGTTTCATGAGGTCTCAGGCTTTGTGCTAAATGCCTTAGATGCATTCACTTACCCTTTGCAGTATAAAATTTCACTTAATGCTAATAACTCTCCTATTAGATACTTAACCAGTTTTACAAGAGAGAGGAAAAAAAAAAAAAAACCCTGAGTCTCAGAGGCTAAGAGCCAGCCAAAGAGCATGTGGCGATTAAGTGAGCCAGGAATGAGCCAGGTCCATCTGCCTTCAGAGCCTGTGCTCTCAACCCCTTCACCTTCTGAACTTTTTGTATGCCCAGGGAAGACCTTGGAGGTTGGGAGGAGGGCATTTATGGCTGGGAAATGCCCAGCGAGCCAAGGTGACATTTACCACTGGGTCCTCCCCTCTGTGGCCTGTTTTCCTTCTACCCTCAGGACCAGGTGGACCACTTGCTGGCCCTGAAGGTACGAGTGAGTTCTCTGAACTCAAAGCTCTCAGCACAGGAAAAGAAGGAGCTGCTCACGGACCTGGAGCAAGAAAAGCCACAGACCAAACTTCTGTACATCACACCGGAGATGGCGGCTTCGGCCTCCTTCCAGCCCACCCTGAACTCACTGCTGGCCCGCCACCTGCTCTCCTACCTGGTGGTGGATGAAGCTCACTGTGTTTCCCAGTGGGGGCATGACTTCCGTCCTGACTACTTGCGTCTGGGTACCCTCCGTTCCCGCCTGGCACATGCCCCGTGTGTGGCCCTGACTGCCACAGCCACCCCACAGGTCCAAGAGGATGTGTTTGCTGCTCTGCACCTAAAGCAACCGGTTGCCACCTTCAAGACGCCCTGCTTCCGGGCCAACCTCTTCTATGATGTGCAGTTCAAAGAACTGCTTTCTGATCCCTATGGGAACCTGAAGGACTTCTGTCTTAAGGCTCTTGGACAGAAGACTGCTAAAGGGGTGAGGGCCCTGAGGCTGGGGGGCGGAGGGCAAGACGCCCCGAGAGCAGCGGGGTGGTATCTTGCAGTGCAGAGGTGGTTGTTGGTTTTCTAGGACCTTTGATTTTTCTAGCTGCTTTAGCCAGAACTAGCTGCAGCTTCTTAAAACTCGCTCTCTGAGAGTTGTTCCTTTGGTTTCCTGGTGGCGTTATTCCTCCTAATGGAGTGCCCTTGTCCTGAAATTCTCCTGAGGGAGGTGAGCAGCAAGCCCCTGAGTGAGGCCTTTGCAGAACTCTCCAAGGCTTCAGGACAGGAAGCAGAGGAGATAGATGGGTTAGGGTTTTGCGCTGATTGATTACAAGGTGGCAGAGCCCTGCTGGTGGCCTGCCTCAGAGGAGCTTGTGAGGCTGACATGAGAAGGAGGAAAGCTTCTTCTTTTTTTAATGTTTATTTATTTATTTTTGAGAGAGAGAAGGGGAAGGGCAGAGAGAGAGAGAGAAAGAGAATCCCTGTCTCTGTGAAGCAGGCTCTGTGCTGTCACCACAGAGACCGATGAGGGGCTCGAACTCTCAAACTGTGAGATCATGACCTGAGCTGAAGTCAAGAGTCAGATGCTTAACCAGCTGAGTCACCCAGGCGCCCCAGAGCAAAGGCTTCTTGTAAAGCAGTCCACGATATAATGGGCAGATTGTTCAGTTCTTCTCAATGCTCACTCTCTTCCCATGTCTCCTCATTCAGTCGCTGTCTGGCTGCGGCATTGTCTACTGCAGGACCAGAGAGGCTTGTGAGCAGCTGGCGACAGAGCTCAGTAATAGGGGTGTGAATGCCAAGGTTTACCACGCAGGTAAGGGGCACCTGGGCCATGTGGTCCTCTTCCCTCTCAGAGGCCGCTCAGTGGGTCTTTTTGTTCTTTAAGGATCCTGAATAATCAGATGGTCCATCATCTTTTTCCAGATACCCAGACAGAGTTAAAGCAATTCACTTACATCCGCAAAAAGGAGTCTAGACACAAATATAAGGTCTAAAATGAGAACCATGACCCCTGAAATCCTTTTCTCACCCTGAGCCCTCCCAGAAGCAGGTGATGAGTTATTTTATAAGTCCAGGTGTTTATAGGTGTTGTGGAGAGAGCACAGGTTTTAAAGGCCAGTGGACTTTGATTTGAATCTTGGCTTGACACTTACTGAGTGCTGTGTGCTGCACAGCAGGTAAGTGGTGGATTCATGGCATGTGTACAGAACCCAGGGCAGGGTCAGATCCAAGGTAGATCCCGAGGAAGATGTGGGTTCCCTTCGACACCTTCCCCTCCTTTACAGGGCTGAAGGCTTCTGAAAGAACATTGGTGCAGAACGAGTGGATGGAGGAGAAAGTTCCTGTCATTGTTGCAACCATTAGTTTTGGGATGGGTGTGGACAAAGCCAATGTCAGGTGAGTGATGGTTCTTGCCTTTCTTTCCCTGGCTCAGGTGGGTTGCCTAGTGCTGTCCCTCAAGGATCAAGTCCGTAGGCTCCTTCTAGGGCCCCAGGAGAGAGGCCGTGGTGCATGGCCCGTGTGGTGACAGGTGCTATGCAGCCTACTCCCAGGTGACTGCACCGCAGGGTTCGGTCATCCCCCAGGAGAGGGCAGCACACAGCCCATCAGGCCTCTCCGTAACTCAGCCTGTTCCCTCACATCCATCACATGGTCCCTGTGAGGGGGTGGAATGAACTATCTTAAGCTGCTCC